CTAACCAGAAGAGAAAAAGAAGGCTACTTCATTTTGATCAAAGGAACAATGAGTCAAGAAGATATTACAATCATGAACATATACTCACCAAACTCTGGTGCACCCAACTTCATAAAAACAATACTACAGGACTTAAGACCCAGATCAATCCCAAATCATTAATAGTAGGGGACTTCAATACCCCACTGTCTCCATTAGACAGGTCAACAGGGTACAGAGTTAACAGAGGAGACATCTGAATTAAACAATACCATATATCAAATGGACCTGACAGACATCTACCAAGTATTCTACCCAAGCACCAAAGGATATACTTTCTGCTCAGCACCACATGGAACCATCTCCAAAATCGACCATATACTGGGGCACAAAACAAATCTCAACAAATACAAAAGATTGAAATAATTCCATGTGTTCTATCAGACCACAACAATAAAGCTTACAATCAACACCAAAAGAAGCCTTAATCAGCACATATACATATGGATATTAAACAACACACTCCTGAATGATAAGTGGGTCAAAAGAGAAATTAAAAAAGAAATAAAACTATTCCTGGAACTAAATGAAAAGGACAATACAACACAACAAAACCTCTGGGACACGCTGAAAGTGGTTCTTAGAGGGAAATTTATAGCTCTAAGTGCCTACATCAAAAAATCGGAAAGAACACAAATAAATGACTTAACAGTGCAACTCAACACACTTGAAAAGCAACAGCAAACAAAACCCAAACCCTGCAGACAAGAAGAAATAACAAAAATCAGGGCAGAAATCAATGAAATTGAATCAAAGAAAACAATACAAAGAATCAACAATACCAAGAGCTGGTTCTTTGAAAAGATAAACAAAATTGACCGACCGCTAGCCCAATTAACCAAAAGAAGGAAAGAGCACCTCCAAATTCAAATCAACAAAATTAGAGATGAAACATCACAACAGACACCAGAAAGATACAGAGCTTTATAAGGGAATACTTTAAAAACCTATATGCTACTAAATTTGAATGGCTCAGTGGTTAAGCGCACTGGGTGCTCTTTAAGACCGAGGTTTGATTTCCAGTGCCCATAAGGCAGTTAACAACCATGGGTAACTCCAGTTCCAGGGGATCAACTCCCTCTTCTGACCTCTGTGGTCACTGCACGACACGGGTGCATTTACACATACGCAGGCATAATTAACTCATACACATAAAATAAAAATAATAAATAAAAAATTTTAAAACCTATACTCTGTCGGGAGCCGTAAGCCCCTACCCCAAGAAATAGCAAGACCTGATTTCTGGCAAAGCTGTTTTTCAGACATCAAGGCTGGCCTGGTTTGAGATTAACCAGATGACTATACTTGAAAGCCTCTCACAAACATGTTGTTCTAACCTGGGCACTTAATGCTTGAGAGACTCCCTCATTTCTCATGTAATTGCTAAGAAACTTTGGTATTCTTCTGTAATCATACAAGTGTAACCTCTTAATTGATTTATAACTTGCTATATAGAATTGTGGTGTTACTATGGAATTTACTCTGTG